GTTTCTAAGAGCAAACATTCGAAAGTTTATTGCCTGTATCTCTGGCCAAATTCTTTTCATCGGACTCATTTAGGCGTCGTTTGCAAGAGCTTTTCTTATTCCATCATCTCAATCAAAAACATACCTTCTTGTAAAAGTGATGACGAGGCAAATGGCACAAGCGCTATGCTCCGTCAGATAACCCTGTATGTACATTTGGGAGTGAGAAGGTCAAAGAGATAACGCTAATAACTAAACAAACAAAAAATACCGCGAGTGCTTGTTCACGTCTGATCTGATATACACAGTTATCGTGAGACACGATTTTGGGAGAAATTGAAAACCTTATCCGGACGACAAGCCGCTTCTTGATGTTTTATTTAAGAGAAGATGAAGGTTACCAACGTTATTTTTAGATATGGTATCCAGTTCTCCCTCGGATGTTACCACGCGCTTTGCGTAGAAGTTTTCGTGAAGGATGAAAATGCCCGTAAGGCCGCTTGGGAAACCCACGTGTGCAAAATCCGCCGCACAGGATTGGCTATGTCTAGTTCCACCTAGAATTTCTGAAACGTTGAGAATAATCTATAAATAACTTGAATTAAGGCCTACATGGGAGATTAACCCCTTACTAGTCATCCTATCTCGACTTTGTCAATAGGTTTGTGCCGAAGTAGAACACAAGTGAAGTTGTCGTTAGGATAATAAGCTACTCACGGCGTCCTCAATGCAGTTCTGGTTACAGTCTGTGCGATGGTCAAACCGGTTGAACGGGTTGATAAATAAGATCTTGTTCTAATTCCCAGGTTTCCTCGGCCTCCTCCATTTCCATTCGTAATCCCAGATCGTGCTTCTTTGTCAGGTATGCAAGATACGAGTTTTCACTTATTGTCATTTTTTCACAAATAGTCTGCAATCCTTTCGGCAAGTCAGTTCTAATGGAATAGCCTTTAACACGCTTTCCTGCATACATTGTTTGTAAGTTTGAAGGATGTAGCTTGACTAGAAGACGCTCAGTTAATTTTTCTTATTTTCCATACATTTGTCTGTAAATTTGGCTGGGTAGACGCGGTTCGCGGGAAAAAACTCACAGACAAAATGTAGAAAGGAAAATTCGAAAAATTAACTGAGCGTCTTCTAGCCAAGCTACATCCTTCAAACTTGATGAATACAA